CATTTAGGAGTTTATTTCAATGGTTTGATTTGCTTCGGGGAATATTTAGAATCCAGCAACCAACACCTGTAATAACCACAATTTATTTATTTATTTTTCTATTTCTGGACTTAGTAACAACAATAATTTATCTCTGGGATGATTAAAGTATTTCTGATTGTGATTGTGATTCAGACGGTTGACTGAGAGCCGAAAGTGATCAGACAGAGAGCCCAAAATGCTTCAGATGTCTCAACACGGGGCGTTTAGTGAGAGCATGTCTTGGCCGGGTTTCAGCTCCTGTCTGCCATATGCTGCCACCAGCACATGTCGCTCTTCCTGACGGGAGAGGGCAGGTCTGCCCCCCCCCCCACCCCCCCCCCAACCCCCGGGGGCCCGAGGAAACCGCCTCAAATCACTCAAACAATCATCTGCAAGCTGCCCAGATATTGTTTCCAGGCAGGAGCAGAGAACACAACCGACAAATAGATGACAAATAAACTCCAGATTTATCAGGCCAAACCACATAGTGCCATACCACATCACTGTCTCTTTTAAAAGAATGGAAACCAAGGTTTGAAATTCAAACTGATTTGAAAACAATCATAATATACATTTTAAATTTCTGAGAGGTAAAAAAAAAAAAACACCCAGAAATTCTTGGAAAAGTCTTTACTCACCAGAGATTTTCTGAATTTACCTGTATTTCGGCTGTATAGACTGAAGAGCTCACGCTCCTGGATTTGGTTGACAACTGTCTGTATTTAACCCTATAATGCCAAATGTGTCATATCTGATACAGTTTGCCATTATGAATTATAAATGGGTGTTGGACTCTTGGATCTTAGAGATTTGAAAGAAAGAACCTCCATGGTGGTTTGATTAGAGGACTTCTTTGGGCATCCAGGATAGATTTAGCTGCACGTTTTTGCTTTGAATAGCAGCAGTTAAAAGTTATCTGTTGTGAAATTAACCCTATAATGCCAAATGTGTCATATCTGATCCGGTTTCTGAAATCTTTTGGATCTGAGACTTTTTGCATCATTCAGTTGTAAAAGCTTTGCTCAAACCCCTGTTGTACACATTCAGATATACCTGATAACAGCCAGTAGAAGACTACACCAAAATACATTTTTGACTTATTGCACGCTAATTTGATCAAAATAATTCATGTTTTTTTTTCTTCACATGTTGTTGAGGGGCCAACGAAAGACTTCAGACAAAAAAAAATCCGATATTCTTCCTATTTCTCTTGGATCAGGCTTTAAAGGGATACGGGTCTTTATTTTCACGTTGTATTTATACCCTTATTTTTGCTTAAAACTTAGGGTTTTTTACTTTTTACTTTGTATTCATATTCTTATTTTTTTGGCTATTCACATTTAGTGTGTACCTGTACTTAATCTGTATTTTATTTTACTTTATTTTATTTGCATTTTGCTCTGTGTGTGACACTTTTTTACCCTGTAAGCTGCTGGTAACTTTAATTTCCTAAGGGAGTCTTCCCAAAGGATCAATAAAGTACAAGTCTAAGTCTAAGATGAGGGTTTGATTAACGCTTTTTCTCCATTAGCTGGAACAAACCTCACAAACAGCAACGAGATGGTGGCGATCCAGGGACTCGATGATGTCCACGATGAAGTACGGCCGCTCGGTGAGAGACAGAAGATTAGACTGTTCCTCCACCACCGGCAGGATGTCGTCGTGGTCCTCCACCCTGTGACACAGAGACACAAAACCACCAACAGATTCCACAGGCAGCCGGTTTCAACGGGGTTCACCTCAATAAAACAAGCTAATAAAACCTGACAGGCTTTATCAGTAAAGACTAGTAAAATAAAGACATCCAGGCATCTGTTTTTAGTGGCTGGTGGAGAATAAATCTGAGTTAAAGGGAGCAAAATCCATCATAGAAAGGGGAAATATTTAAAGTGATGATAATAGGCAAATAAGCCTGTAAGGAGACTAGTATAAATAAATACATCCAGGCATCTTTTTATGTGTTTTATACTTTATTATCTTATGTGTTTCTTGTGTTTTTATGTGTGAGGTGTGAATGTGTGTGAACTACTACTGCACAAAAAATGCCCATACTGGGACAAATAAAAGCTACTGAACTGAACTGTTTTTTTAGTGCCTGGTGGAGACTAAATCTGAGTTAAAGGGAGCAAAATCCTTTATCTAAAGGAAAATATTTAAAGTGATGATAATCGGGGGTTAGCAAATAAGCCTATAAGGGGACTAGTATAAATAAATACATCCAGGCATCTTTTTATGTTTTTTATAATTTGTTATTTTATGTATTTCTTGTATTTCTTGATCTTATGTGTTTCTTGTGTTTTTATGTGAGAAGTGTAAATGTGTGTGTGAACTACTACTGCACAAAAATTGCCCATACAGGGACAAATAAAAGCTACTGAACTGAACTGAACTGTTTTTTTAGTGGCTAGTGGAGACTAAATCTGAGTTAAAGGGAGCAAAATCATTAATCTAAAGGAGAAATATTTAAAGTGGTGATAATTGGGGGTTAGCAAATAAGCCTAGAAGGAGACTAGTCAAATAAATACATTTGTTTTTTTAGCGGCTGGTGGAGACAAAATCTGAGTTAAAGGGAGCAAAATCATTAATCTAAAGGAGAAATATTTAAAGTGATGATAATTGGGGGTTAGTAAATAATCCTAGAAGGAGACTAGTATAAATAAATACATCCAGGCATCTGTTTTTCATCTGTTTTTAGTGGCTGGTGGAGACTAAATCTGAGTTAAAGGGAGTAAAATCATTTGTCTAAAGGGGAAATATTGAACGTGGTGATAATTGGAGGTTAGCAAATAAGCCTGAAAGGCTCTGCTGCCTCCTAGTGGACAAGATGTTAAAAAGCAGCCTCAAAGGTTGCCTGGTTTTCATAGTGAGCCTGTGCGATTACAGACACTTTGCTAATATAAATTTTCTCCACTTTGGTGACTATGATATTGTCTCTACTGTACGAACTGGGAGATTTCTGCTGAACTCACCTGGCCAGGCGGAGGGAAAGTCTCGGGCTGTGTTTGTCTCTGTGGCAGATCAAAGCCAAGCACCGAGGTCCAGGGTCAGTCCGGCGGGTCAGGGGCCCAAATATCTGCTCCAGAGCTGGATCTGAAAACACGCCTTCTGCTCAGAAACCATCGGCGGGCGACCATAGGATCACACCTGGAGGCTGAAGAGCAGCTTCACCTAAAACAGCCACGTTTGGACTAATCAGGCAGACGTGCTCCAGTTCAGCCACGTAATTAAAGACGGTCCTGTAGAACACAAGAGGATTGTTTATGTTTATGTTTATGGATTTAGCAGACGCTTTTATCCAAAGCGACGTACAGAGTAGACACAATATTACATTTCTCATCACTATGACAATAAGCTATACAGAGGAGAAACCCTGATCAGAGTCAGTGGTGAGATAGAGGTAGAGGTAGAGGTAGAGGGACTATAGAAGGAGTTGTGGGGGGGGGTAGAGGTACGGGTTAGTCAGGATTGTGTCAGGATCTAAGTTTTACCGTAAATGTTTTGATAGAAAAGTGTTAAAAAGTGAGAGACAAAGACTTCCAGACCTCATTATCTCCTTTAAACACGGCGTGGTAAAACTGGCGTGGGCCACAAAAAGGTGGAGGAAGAGTGTGTTCAGAGGCTGGGAACAGAAGATTCAGAGTCATGTTTGTCTAGCTGTATGAAACACTAAAAAAGGATTTATCATTGAGACTCACGGTGCATTTTTTAGAGTCAAAGTGTTTGTGCAGGAAGGGCTCCCACTTGGCCTGATCCACCAGGTCTCCAACGGGATAGTCGCAGAAGGAGGCATGAGCCAGGACCTCGTCCTTTTCAGTGGCCACAGTCACAGCCAGGTTGGCTTTTTCTCTAAAACGAGGAGAAAAAGAAGATTTCATCCATGTGATGTAAAAATTAAAGCTGTATCTATCTTAAAAGTGTTTATTTTTTGTATCGGTTCGCTGCATGGCTGTGTGATGACACAGGGTAGACACAAATTTAACTGATTTGAACGGTAGTTCAATAGTTTTAATGGTTTCTAAGGTTTCTGGACACAGGTTTAGTGCTTAAATTCTGAGGTTTAATATAAATACATGTAAAAAAGGAAGTGTTTTTCTCACAGACAACGAATGACATCGATCTTCCCAAAAACCTCCCGTGTTGAGGGGCTTATGAGTGCATCAATCCCCGGAGCATCTGCCGATTCACTTCTCCTGATGGTCACAGCCTCCTCAAGGCCGTCCGCCGATGTTAAAGTCCTGATCCTGATCAAATTTCATCACAAAAAGAAGAACAACACACACATCAGGGGAGTCTTTAGACGTATTTTAAGCTCATCACCCTCGAATGTCATAGAGAAAAAATAAAAATCATATATTTCTATTACTTTTGCTTTCAATTGTGCTTCGTCTGTGTCCATAAATCCATGTTGGGAGTGTTGTATTTTACTTTTTAACCCTTGTTTTATTAATGACTCAGTTATGGGTGGAAAAATCAGAAATTAAGGTAAGTTCTCACCGAAAGTTTCCCCATGTAGGTTTGACGGGTTAAAAACAGTATAAATAGTATTTTTTAAATACATTTTAACAGGTTATAGGACTAAATCCATCAAATTTCTTTAAACCTAGAAGCGATTAAACCACCATAAATTGAACTTCCTCCATTAACCAATAACAAAATATTCATGAACAATAATTATTAAAGAAAACCATCTAAATAAACTTACATCCTTCTTCCTCTCTGATGGCAGACGATAACAATAAACAATATGCTTCTTCACCTCCAGAAAACGGCAACTTTTCACCGGATTATTAGCTGACGAAAAAAAGAGTCTGTTGCTAAGGCAACAAAACTACGAGACTTCCGGGGTTGACAGGAAGCCGCAAGGAATTGTGGGTACTGTCATGGTCGCCTGCATTGGATGCGAGCGAAACGTTTTGTTGCTTTTCTTAGCTTCATTTGTTCTCGGCTTTCTTTAGATTATTTTTTTTAGTTAATTTTGATCAAACCTATCGACGCCATGGCGTCCACGGCTGCGGGTAAACAGCGGATACCGAAGGTGGCGAAGGTAAGGAAATAAACGCCATTTTAAAGCCGTAAGCGAAGCGCTTTAAAGCTAATGCTAACAAGGGCGCTAAACCAGGAATTCAAATATGTTGGAACTCGCTTTCTGAAGTCTTTGTAACTTCTAGGTCTGGTCAAATACTCACACGAATCTTACTTTATGCCGTTATTTTGACACAAACCTCGCAATAAAATTCACTTTAGCTGTTTTGGGGTATTCTGCTCATTAGATTTCCGCTTTCATGGTTAACTCAGAGATAAAGACTAATGCATCACTAGCCTCTTTAGAAAATGTCTTAGTTATATTTATTTAAAAATTTTACGCCCCTTGAGATATGCACACTGACGTCTGTATTTCCATGGCCTGCTGGGACCTCCAGCAAACTGTCATGATGTGTAGAGATCTAATAAAAACATATCTTTTTTATTAGTGATTATCAAAAGTTATGTGTTTGTTTTCAGTCTACTGAAAAGCTGTTTCTGTGTTTTCCTCTTTGGATGTAGCATAGTTTAGTTGGACTTGACCTATTCTGAGATTTGTTTTGATTAAAATAATCAGCTCAAGGAACCGAATAATTAGAATTACATAAAGATTTATAAACATAAGGTAAACTGACTGTTTCATTGGCTGATTTTACAGTTTTAGGTTGTCAGTAAGACTTTTGCTGTGATGCTGAATCATTTAAATAACCCATTAAGGCACATAGACAGCTGGTGAAATGACATTGTAAACCTTTTGTGTGTTTCAGGTGAAGAACAAAGCTCCGGCAGAGGTGCAGATCACAGCCGAGCAGCTTTTGAGAGAAGCTAAAGAGAGAGAGCTCGAGCTTCTCCCACCGCCACCCAAACAGAAGATCACCGACCAGGAGGAGCTGAATGACTACAAACTCAGGAAAAGAAAGGTGTCGTTACGGCGTTTCTGTTTTCATTCCAAGCAAATGTCAAAGATTCCCTCTCATGTCCAATCTGGGTTTGATAAAAATAAAATAAAGGCGTTACAGACGTCTGATAAGTGTGTTGATGTGTTTTTTTGTTAAAGGCCTTTGAGGACAACATCCGAAAGAATCGCACAGTCATCAGTAACTGGATTAAATACGCACAATGGGAGGAGAGCTTGAAGGAGGTCCAGAGGTAAGGAGCTTTGATAACCAGTTGTAAATTAGTCCTATAATCCAGTTGTGGTTTGAGTTTTCTATTTTTTTTTTTTTAAAGGAGACATATTATACCCTATTTCAACAAGTTAAGCTAGTTCCCTGGTGTCCTAATGTAATGTCTGTGACAAGCTTTGGTCAAAATCCCATAAGGATGAAGCCCAATAGCAGTTCAGTCCCCCTGCCTAACCCTAACCCTAACCCTAACCCTAACCCAAAACAGCCCCGTTCAGAGCGCTCGCTTTGGAGTGCCTGTCTCTTTAAATGCAAATGAGACACAGGCAATCCACCCACTTCTTCCGGGAGGTGTGCCCACGTCGGCACGCTAACGCTACCATGCTAACGCTCACGCTACCAGGACGTCTCCACAGATAGGGGAGTAAGCTGAGGGGGGGGGCAACATGCAGGTGAAAGGCTGGAATATTATAATGAGCTAGAGCTAATGATGTCAGAAACTACCCACTCCTGAAACCTCCTGATTTATCTCCTGGATTCAGACTGAGGCAGCCTACAAAAACATGACTGGGTCATTTTTTTTCACACTCTGCCTGCTGATAGGCCCTCCACAGTCCCAAATGTACACGATCAAATGATTAAAAACTTGGTTTTGCATAATATGTCCCCTTTAAAGTGAAATAAACTAAATCTTGTTTTCATGTTGGCATCGGTTCGAGCCTCAGCACAGCTCTCAGCTCCAGCTTTGACTGTTTGTTTTTTTTTCAGGGCCCGGTCCATTTACGAGCGAGCGCTGGACGTAGATCACCGCAACATCACTCTGTGGCTGAAGTACGCCGAGATGGAGATGAAGAGCCGGCAGGTGAACCACGCCCGCAACATCTGGGACAGAGCCGTCACCATCCTGCCTCGAGTCAACCAGTTCTGGTACGAGTCCCGATTCACCTTCCAGATGTTTAGGAA